GCTCTTCCCTATTATCTCCTTTTTCCTCCAGAAGTGGGTTAAGTAGATGATGACTTCTCTGAGCTATGTGTAACTGGATTGTAAGTAGTGCTTGAAGGAGGAAGCTAAGTGTTCTCAAGTATGACTTGTAGTATAAATAACTGTTGTTGAAGGAAAAAAAAAAAAATTGATGTTGGTATTTGTTTTACTCTGAAACCAGTTTTCTGGTGTTTTTTGTTTTATTGTACAAACTTTTCCACTGAGAGCTTTTTGGTTATTTCTGACTAACCCCCAGAGTCATTAGTGCTATTTGAGTCAGAAATTGAATATTGAGGGCTGACGAAATTTTAGTGTTTAAAACTGTTGTAAGTCACATCAAAATAGTTGACACCTGAAAACAAAGGGCTCTTTTCTAAAACCGTTTTCTTAATACATAGGAATAGAACAGCGTGTCCAGATCGTCATCAAATTAATTTACAAATAGATGTGCCCCAGAATATGCCAGATAAAATTATACGAACACCTGGATGTGTGACAGTAAGTTGTTACTATTTACCTTGGTTTTGGGTACCAAGACGACAGGTCTTAAATAGCTACTTAGCATGTTATCTTTTGTATATTACATTAATGTTACTGTAGTATGTATACTGTATCTCGTGGATATTTGTTGTTTTTTAGCTTTTTTTCATCTCTCCCTTGCATAAGTAAGTGTGCCAGATTTCCCCTTAATCCTTAGCCTGAATTGAAATTGTTTTGCAGGTCATTCTGAGTTTGCCCCAGGATTTCTTCTGCATTGAAGATTCCCGTTCTATGGGCCAAGGTCTTATGTTCTGTTTATTCCTTCCCTCTATAAATTGGGACGATGTATATAAATACACCAAAGTTAACAAAGGTTGAAGTTCCTATAAACTTCAATTATACTTATTGTAGAGGAAACACAATGCTTTGGAATGAAGAGAAATTGAAGTGGGAGATGATACATGTTTTGTTGGAAGTGAGGGGTTTTTTCTAAGCTGACATATTCATGCAAACTTGCTGAAAAATGAGCATATTCTGGCCTTGTCATTTGACACTAGTGTTTTCATTTGCAGTATCCACAGAAAATGGGATACAGCTCCTCCCTTATCTTCTAGATGAAACGGTTATTTCCTGCTAACATGTCAATGCTTTTTAAAAACTATTTTGATATAGACTGCTGTTCTAATTGGACTTTCTTTAATAGTTTCACAGTTGGGAAACCTTCAAGGTTATTGGGTTGCCTTTGCTATGGTGATTCTTCACATCCCGGTAACAGTTTGTATCTCCAGCTCCCTTCACCCGGCTTTTCAGTCCCATCTATGCTGTAGTGTCTGCCTGTACAGCAGTATTGTACAGTTTCTCTCTTGTCTCCTTATCAGATGATGATTGCTAAGGGCAAGTTTATAGACATGAGTGTTTCCTTCCAAAATTAGAACTTGAGTCTAAGAAGTGCTGGATGCCTTCAATTTGGATGAGCTGCTTCCGCCTTCTTCCTGTCCTGTCTTTTGCAGAATTCAGGTACCTTCAGGTCATGCAGTTAATAGGTGTCATCCATTTCCAAAAGTCATACATAGTGAGAACAGAAAATATAGAGAACTGGGAGGATTCTTTGGTGTCACTCCATCTCTGCCTAATAAATATGCTTTTTTTGGTAGGTATGAGTTGAAACCCTTTGACAACCTGCATGCATCTGGTCTTAGTGCCGGATAGATTTTTCTGGATTTAGTGGACAGATTTCGTGACAATCCTGTTAGAAACTTGCACTTGCCTGTGGTGCCCTCAAGACAGCAGTTGTGGCCTCTTCCATTTCCTCATCTACTTCTCCTGCTGCTGACTGCAGAGCCTGGGTGTCTGTCTTACAAATTAGTTACCATTTTGATAAGTATTCACTTTCTTTTTTTTTTGGAACGCAGTATAATGTTTCCTTCCTTTAAGAACCTCCAGTCTCATTGTGCTTTTTTAGGATTTCTATTAAGTGGAAATTACCTTTCTGGTCTCCATACTATCCTGTCTGGCCTCATTTACCCAGCTGTATCTCGGAATTCTGCCTGGCATGACCCTTTAGACAGAATGCACCCAGCATTTTATGCATTGGTGTTGATAGTAGTATATTCATAGTGTTTCATTTAAGTACTTTCAGTGCAAAAAGAGTGAAGGCCATGTTTTCCCAGTCAGTTCTTCTAAAACTCACTGTAAGGTGAGAACACTCACTGAGAACACTTAGAATTAAGCTTGAATGGTGTGGAATGCCGTAGTGGTTAGTAGCTTCGCAGGTAATAGTATAGTTCACTGGTGTTCATTTAAGTGGAATACCACTAACTGAAGCCTAACAGTTCTTGCTCTATAAATTTCTGTCCACTGTTAACAGGACTATGGGTAGTTAGTATTATTAAAAATATTATGAATAATAACTCAATCTTCTGAAATGTGTGTATGCAGCAGCATCTCTGTCACCACTCTGGGCTGGAAAGAGGTAGGTGATCTCGAATATGAACACCTACATTGCATTTATTTAAGAAATCCTCCAGTCCTCCTTTTTTTAATGTATTTTATGCTTTCAGATACTGCCTCTCCACATTGTAAATGCAACAAACTACTTTGGACGAATAGTAGATAAACAAAAGGACCAATATACAATTCTTGCTGAAGAAATTAATGAGTATTTTAAGAAACCTAGTAATAAAATTTCTGTTAAAAACGTGGAGAAGCTAGCGTTTTATGGATTATGTGAGAAAACACTTTTTCACAGGTAAAAATGTTGGGTTTTTTCAATTATTCATGTGGACTTTTTGTATACAGAGTAGTTTAGAACTTTCACTGTTCAATTAAAAAAATGAACACACCCCCAAAACCAGCAAAAAATCACTGCTGTTCAAATCATTCAATCATTCTTTAAAAAGCTGTCACACTTTAAGTTACCAAATGGAAAGCAAAATGACTACCCACACACACACAGTTAGATATTTTACTATGAAAATACCATTTTTTTGAAAAAGAGTATATTAAAAGAATTCTTACAACTGATTGTATGAATAATTCTGTTTCTTTTCGTACTGTTTGAAGGGTTCAAGTGGTAGAGATTTCCCCAAAAGAAGAGGAAAATTTGTTCTTTAGTGTTGTAATTAAATATATAGATGAAGGCAGAACAAGTCAAGTTCAGAGCTATCAGCTTCTTCACTTACCCGCAAGGTTTCAGTGTCTGCCACCTCAGGCTGTGGAATTCGTAGTTTGTAGAGTGAAACCCATTGATAATGAAATTGAATGGAACCCAAAGGTAATATTTATCAGGTTTTTAATGGCATTTCCTTTATGTTCTTTAATTTCTCTGTGTGCTATTTTCTACAAGAGTTATGAACTGCAAATTCAGTTAACAAATTTCATTGCTTATTAGTGTTACCAATAATATCTGCTCTTGGGCCAGAGCCTAAGTTTTCCTTGTTTGTTTTCCTGTGGAATAGTAAAGTGAAATTTATGGGATTTTCTTACCTATGATGTAAATGGCTTCTTCTAGAACAGGTTATTGCTGCTTTTGATTCTGTGGGGAGTAACAGAGGAAGGGTAGCCTCTCTGAATTGACCTGTGTTTGAATATTCTTCTGTTTAGGAAGCTCCTTCCTTAAAGGCTAATACTATTTTAACCTACAGTAAAGATGAAGTATTTCACCAGTTTACTCAAAACTGTTTTTATTTATTGAGCACCCTCTTCATTGTTAAGCTCAGAAGATTGTTTCATTAGAATTAAAAGAACCGTGGAATTATGTTGGTATACATATCAAGTGCAGTGAAAGTTTGTTTTTCCTAGGTAACTCATTACATTCATCACAAAATTAAAGGAAAACTACATGAAGCAAAGGTAGTACATACTTTGGGAAATACAGCTTGGCTTGACCCAATGGTAGGTACAGAATTGTAGCAACAACAAAAGTATATTTTGGAAGTACTGGTTTTAGGGTTTTTTTCTTGTAAAATCAATTCTGTAGTTCATCACACATTCCTCTGAAAGAATGAAACTTTGATCCTCCAAGATTGTTTGTTGATATCTAAGACCTCTTATACTAGACTTAATTTATTCTGTTCATATTTCTAAGTCTTTGTCTTTTATTGTTCTTGCACTAGTTTAGGGCTAGTTTTATTCTAAAATTTTCTGCAAATTAAAAATGCTTTTAAGCTTCTTCCTTAGTTTTCTTGATCAGAATAGGAGAGTGGGTGCTCTTGTTACTGGATTATTTTTTTTTACAATCTTACTTAGCGTTAATGCATAGTATTGTGAGTTTTCCTTCATAAACTGAATTTCCTTCTGTCAGCATTCAAAAGAGGACCTGTAACCATCAATTTGATATAAAGACTATGATTCTGACCTTTTGGATATTAATTTCTTTTAATTTAATTTCATTTTATTTTTTATATCTTCTCATTGGGTAATCTCAGACATGCAATGAAATTGCTTTAATTACTGCTTCTCTCAGAGTTGACTTTTTAGGCTTTCTCGAAACTAAAATGTTATGGTCAGTGTGTCATCCATGCAATGTTGTTTCCTCTGAGTATTCTCCTGTTCTCTCAAAACTTTGCAGTTAGGAGATTGCCTTAGGGCTGTGTTTTACTTGAGAGGAGGTGGGGTTTTTTTGAAAGGCAGGAGCCCATTCTGACAGTTATATCAAAGGACAAAAAAAAAAAATCATGTGCCTTTTAAGCCTTCACTAATGGAATGAATAAGCTAGTTGCATTTTTGTGATGTGTGTTAAGAAATAACTTCAGTTTATGAGCAAGGAGTTCTGTGAAGAATTGCTATCAAAGGTAGCTCAGAAGTTGAGGGATGTTTTTGTTATGATCCAGACAAATTCATCAGAAGGCCCTCCCTGTATCTCAGGATCATGATGTGTCTCTTGTGGCTCCTTGGCCCTGCCAAAGAGTACAGTAATTTATTCCTGTGCTTTGGAATGTATCATGCTATGTTTTCCATCTGACCGTTCAGTCAGCTGAAAAATAAAGTGGAATGAGCTCTTGTATGGCTTGTGGCTCTTGTGACTCTGTATGTTAGGGAGTGTTTTGATT